CCTGTGACTTTAACACCAGAATAATTCTAAACAAAACATGTGCCACAGCAATGTTTTCTGTCCTGTTTTCAGTCAGAGCACAGGTTTTAGAAAGGATATATTTCATAATAAAAGGAGGACAGTGAGAACACTGACTGAACAGCCTATCCTTGACAACAGAAAGCAGTATTACAGCCAAAGGGTACAGCCTGTAGAAACTAAAAATGAGGATTTGAATAATCTTTGGAAGTCTGATGAAATCCTTTTTCATATAATTTTTTCCTGTTGTGATCACATGAAAATCTTAAAAATGGAAGTACTGAGCAAATCACATTTTTTGTTATTTACACTGCAAACCCGCAATGGTGAATGACATATCTGTAACCTTTCTATTTCTTATAGCTTCCCCGCAAATAGCTGCATCAGTATTAAGCTGGCACTCCAAAGAGTTCAGCTTTGCTTCATGCAGCACCCAGAGCCCTGAGTTCACAAGCGCTGCACACAATTTTAGCAAATAAAATAACAGCCATTAGGAAGGACAGTATCAGATGTTTCCCTGCTTCCTCACCTTTTGACAGCTATACTTACCTGCAACACTTTCCTGAAATCCACCATGTTCTACTTCTCATACAATAAAATTGATTATAAAAATAACTAAGAGTAGTGAAAACCAGCTGCATTCTAGTATTAGTCAGAGAAACCTGGAAGAACCTGAATTTATCCTGCTTCGTGCCTTTACCTGGTAAACAACAGCCTAGCTTTCCTGGGAGCCTCTTGCTTCTTTCAAACCCAAAAGTTACACCTTTACCTGCAGTTACCTTAAACTAGCTTTTAAAATTATGAACAGGTTTAGTAACCTTCTATCTCTCTCCACATCAATCACCTTTCTTCCACTGAAGAGTACAGGGACACTGTCCAGTCATGCAGGACTGGGATCAGGAAAGCCAAGGCTCGGTTGGAGGTGAACTTGGTAAGGGATGAGGAGAAAACAAAAAGGGCTTCTACAGGTGTATCAACCAGAAAAGGAAGGTTAAAGAAAGCATCCCCCCCCCCGATGACCAAGGATGGCAAACTAGTAACAAGAGGTGAGGAAAAGGCTGAGGTTATCCATGACATGACAGGCTGAAGGAGTTGGGGTTGTTCAGCCTGAAGAAGACTCCCGGCAGACCTTATAGTGACCTTTCAATACCTGAAGGGGGCCTACAAGAAGGCCCCATGGAGCTTCCTTTCCTACGTATTGAAAGAAAAACAAAACAACAGCAAAAAGCAAATAATTTCTTTATCAACAGAGAGAAGACAATGTCCATGTAACTACTGCAACAACAAGCACTTCAGTCCTGGGGAAGAGGAACTGCAAGGCTCATTGAAATCAAGGCAGCCTTGAGGTGACTGCTTTGCCCAGCCTGATGAGACTAGCTCACGTAGTTTATATAAATTGTTTTGAGATTACTTTCATTCTCTCTACAATCCTGTATCTCCTGAGAAGGCACCAGTTCCCCCTGACTCAGGGAGAGTTATGTTTTTTCTTGCAATTTTGTAGAACAGTGATTATGCGCAAGTGGGAGAATTTCACAAGCAGAATGTCTTGTCAGTGAAAATAGCAGCTTTACTCCTACATTCACTTAGCAGCAGGAGGCAGAAAGTGTCCTGGGGTTTTTGAATTATTGCTGAAATGAACTCCAGATGCCTGCAGAAAGACTGCTAAATATATACTTAATTGCCAGTTTCTTTGTCTTGGCCCTGCTGCTAAACAACCTTCCATCAACAGCATTTGATACATCCTGAATTCTTTATTAGCACCTTTATGCAGAATTAAATGGCACCTGTGCAAAGCCAGAGCACAACAGCACGACAGTGCTTCATCAGCAGGGTCTCTGGAAGCCTGTCTTGACTATTTGTCTTCTTGTGTGGGGGATGCTTACTTATAAATTACAGCCTTCCTTTTACATTACATGCACACCAATTTTATACCTCTCAGTTCTTATGCTAGAAAAATATGCATATTTATGTTATATTAATCAGGCACCAAATTGTGCTATTTTGAATATTCAGCAAAGAAGAGCAAAACTGCTTCCTGGCCTGCTGCCACTCCAGTGACTCATCTTTACTAATGTGCAAGCTGCTTCACAGAGAAAAAGGATTTTGGAGACATAAGCTCATATGTCCCATGCTTCATCCCTGCTAACCCTGACTCCCACACACAATATCCACAGTACAGATGAGAACTATGAAACTGCCTCTGGGCTCTGTAATTATAGTTGCATGTTAGGGCAACCATTAGGAGTACATACATCAAGGCTTTTGTCTGGAAATAAGATGGTCTTAAAAATCAAAGATCATATACACCACAGCGGACCATTTCCATATTCAAATAAATAAATGTATTCTTTCATTGATTAAGGGAGAGCAGAGGCAGAGGGATGGCCAGTGTCACCGCTCCACCTGTGACACAGGAGTACACAGCACTCTGTTGGCTGCTGCATTCCTGTAAAATATGCTTCCTCTGCCTTCATTGACTTCAAGAGTCCATGCTGATCTTTCCATCCCAGCAGCAAATCTCGCTCACAGCTGTAACTTGCTGCCCTCATTAGCCCAATATTCAGTACCAAGGAAGCCAACATCAACAACAGAGGCTACTCAGGAGACCTCTTCCCTTTTCTTCTTCCCCAGATCTATAAGCTTAGCTTTTTACCCTGCTTTCAGGACACTGACCCAGTACTGACCTACAGAGCAGGTTTCAGACAAGGTTCAGTCTAAAGTGGCATGGAAGTGCTGCTGTCACCTAACAGATGGCCACATTCAGAACAAAATGCCACAGCTATAAAGCAGGGCTCAAGTTTTGACACTTGCTAGATTACTTATCATTGTGCTGGTAATCTCTTCTGAGACACTGCCAGTCAGAAAGTGTGAGGTGTGTTCTAGGGACACTTACACAGACTTCAGCAATATGATGCCTGATTCCCTCTAGCCACATCAATCTTTAATTTATAACTTTCCTAGTCCTAGCAAAGGCTTCTTGCACAGCATGACACTTGGCCACAAACACTTCAAAGAAATTGTTCTAGGCAGCATGAACCTCCAATTTCTGAGCTTCAGTTCCAGTTACAAACAGACTGTTATTTTTAACACTTCAGGCTGAAAGTGTGGACTTCCCAAAAATTTAATTACCATAGTAGGGATGTAAAGGATGGGAAAATCTTGACCTTGGTGATATTCAGATGTCTCTAAAAGAAAAAGCATATCGGGCAGCTGCTTCTAGTTAAATGTGTGAAGACTAATGACTTCCTTCAAATTTGTGCACCCTGGACAAGATTAACCTGCTCTTTCTTGACTACTCAGCAAGGCAAACATGTAGCTGTGATCTCGTAAAGTTTGTGTTTGAATAACAAAAAAATTGAAGTCAGCAGTTCCTTCTTCACCATTTCAGACAATATAGTGAGGTTTAAATGCTTGAGTCACAGTAGAATGCACAACGCAACTCAGAATCACAAAGTAGCTGAAGTTGGAAGAGCCTTCCCCTTTGTGTACCCATCCAGTCACCTCCTGAGTCTCCAGTGGCAGAACTGCAGTGGTGAAATTGGGTCCTACCTCCATTTCTCAGTACAAAACAGAAAGCAACTGGCAGGTGAAATCCTTTGGGCAGGAGTGTCATAATTTTTCCTACCTGAGATCATGAAAGTGGAAAAACTAGCTTACTTTGTTTACAAATATTCAGTGAATAGCCAAGTTAGGTTCAAGGAAGGATCGAGGAAAGGAAAGCAAAGCCATTTAAGAAACAGATGATTACTCCTTGGAAAAGATAACAAGTATTTTTTACACATGCAGTTTGTGTGTCTATCCATTTTCTCATTTTGTCACAGTCCTTCACCAATTCACTGCACAGCAGGGACTAGACATTATCACATTATCTTCAGAGTCATTAAATGCTAAATGAGACCTCTACGTTGTACTGTTAAACAGAGCTGATGACACAGCTCCCTAAGGGCACCTTGGTCTTACCCTGCTTGCATTAACAAAACCCCAAAGATATATCATTATAGAGGATTTGAAAGGGAACTGTGGCAGAGATGTTGATATTGCAATCTGTAAATCCACTGCATAAATAAGTAGCTTTCTGGTAATCTCTCTAAAAAGGGTAACACTTCTGGCATTCTTGGTGCTTCCCAAAACCAAAACTGTCACTGTTATCTCCTGATGCAATGATACACCCCTCTTGCTCTCACAGGGATATAGAGATTTGGGTTAGTTCAGTTCATATGAGAGAAATGGATATGGTTCACATGGATCCAGAACACAAAAGAGTAAAGCCAACACCTTCTTCCAGCCTTCCTTATACATAGGGCACCGTTCCAGAGAAACTTGAATCTAACATCTATGTTCTGTTTGTGTGAATGTATGTACGTGTACCTAGAAGAGAGAGTGTGTGCACATGCAAGCAGCAGCCTTTTTCTGGGAAGAGGTGAGATTACAGTAACTACCTTACAGGTAGCTTCCACAGGACCCCAATTCAAAGCAGGGGTGGAAAAGGAGTAGCCTGCAGTATTGCAGTCTGCATGGCAATAACATCCTTACCTGACTTTAATGGGCTAGACTCTCCATATCTCACTGTGTTTTTCTTTAAGCTGAACATGTTCATAAAGTATGCACTGAAAGCTAATGAGAAGATTCTAGCTTCGAGCTTAGCCTCTGGACATTGTCTTCAGGGACATTGTCTTCAGGGACTAATACTTTGTTACTCCTTTAACTTCTTGTCAACACAGGCAACCAACTGCTAACTTGAAGCTATGTGGTCTCCAACCCAATTCTATGTTAAAATCAGCAGAAGCTCCATATGTTTCTTGTCTAGCATGCAGCAAACACAATGGCACTCTAGCAAATAGGCAATTTCAGCACCTGGTTATGCCTGAAACTGGGTGCTTTGGGAAACAGAGTAACATCAACGAATCATGCTCAATTACAACACAGGCATTTCCAGTCTTGTTTGATGCTCAGCATTTGAGGAAAATGATACACTTACTCACCATAATGGATATATGCCAAGCCTACTGACAATGAAGACAATGGCAAATGTAAGGAACAGAAGGTCACTCAGTTTTTGACACTTGCAATAGTTTGCCATTTTGGCAGCCTGTAAAAGAAAGAAATTTCTGTTTACTTCTGTGAGGACAACTGAGTTCTCTTGTACTGTGAATAATCTTTTAGAAGAAATAAATTTTTTATGAAATTGCTAACATTTTCATTGGGTTACCTCACAGAGACCTTGTAACTCCTCTCCATCATGCAGGTCGAAAATGTCTGGTTGGAAAAAACCCCAGACTGCCTAAAACTGGAGTACATCTCTCTTGTCTTCATTTGCCATTAAATTTCCTTTTGTAAACCTAAAATTTCAGATTCAAAATCTATTTAAAACCTTTTACTTATCCCCATTGTGTTTACACTGTCTTCGTCCCCAACCTCTTTACCTACCTGTCTTTCACCTTTCCAGTATGCTCCACTTTCATTCTCAACAACTATCTTCCACCTCCCCCACATTCTCTGACCTTCTAGTGTTACTACACATTAACTTTGTCTCAAATCCTCTATTGTGCTCCATATCCTACGTTCTGCTACAGCATCTCTTCTTCTTTTCTGGCCTATACAGAACAGTTTCTACCTCTAAGGTTATACTCCACCCCTTCAAATCTTTTTCCAAGTCTTTCTTTCCTTCTCTTTGCAATTTTTGCTTTCCAACTTGTTGCCCTGTGCCTATTTTTACATGCTTCTTTTATTTGTCTTCATGCAGTCTTGATTCCTCCTCAGTGAAGAAGTCGTCTAATTACTCTTCACTTGGAGGACACATTAAAACTCTGGTCTTCCCTGAAGTTTCTTTGCCCTCTTGCCCCTGTAGAAAACAGCATGTACAAGCAAGCTTGTTTTAAGACTGCTTTCACAGTGTTCAATTGTGTAAGCAGCTACTTATTTTAAAACATCTGCTTCAAGACAGGGAAAGCCTTTCTTTATGCTTTCTGCCAAATGTATCCAAAGAGTCACTGCACAATGAAGTAAATTAAGAGCCTGATTTAGCATTCACTTAAACACTGGAAACCCTTTCAAAGCCCCTTCTGAGGGGGCCTGTATCCAGCTCCCATATTGAGATGATGCTTACTTTTGCAGACTTCCCAGAGGGCTAAGAGGGAGCAAAATTACCAGAACTATGTGTATAAAATCCTATTCTGAATGCAGAATTCAATGCAGAGAATTGTCTAAAATGGTGAGAGACATTGCATTCTGGCTGATTTTTTTGTAGGAACACGCTGAACCTCAAAGTGTTCAATGCTCCTGTCAGACAATCTGGATGCCAAAACAACCTGCACTCTTGGATATTACATAACTTCTGGCATGTTTGCACTCAAAATATAAAGTATATCCTCACTAAAAGGAAACAAGGAAAGCCACCAGTGTTGCAAAGGAAACATAAACCTTCTGATTCAGCCCTATATTCTATAATGGACACAGATGAGTTTCCTAGCAGTTTGTACTCACAATCTGGTTTAAGGAAAAGCGAACATTTTGGTGCCAACATGCACATCAGACGAGTTACTAACACCTTGCATTTCAGATGGTTGAAAGTTCAGATAGGAATTTTGGATAGATTTCCATGGTGGCAATCTAAAAAAGCTGGTTTCACCCTCAGTGGAGCTGATATTGCTATAGCAACTTACAGTAGTATAATGCCATTTCTCAGAAACAGCACAGCTGTTGGGTCATCAGTTCTCAAATAACACATCTATGAATTATACTGATAAGGAAGGACTATAAAAAAATGGAAAGTGCATGTTGGATGGAATTGGGCCACAATACAAGACAATTTTCAAAGCTTAACAACCATGACTCCAACTGAATAACACAGCTCTTCCAGATACTCTTGCTAGTTTGTTCAAATCCATTTATTTTACAGCACAGCCATCTGCCTTGGTCTCAAGTGTCCATCCCCTGCTCTTTCAGAAAAGTGTGTTAGGAGATACCTTAGAAGATACACGAGCCTCATACACCAGAAGCACACTATATATAGTCTCACACAGTGAGACTATATTCTTGCATAACAGGACTCCTGCAACTACTTCAGTAAAAAATAATTTCTGGCAAAATAGTTATTAATCCTGATTTGATTTTGATGGAGAGCTCACAGAGAACCTGATCTCAGTATCACCCAGAGCTGTCTAAACACTGATGCAGATACAGGATGACATCTCTAAACTGTCACTACAGAAGTTACAGACCATCTTAATATAAAATAATTGCAATCATCTCTTCTTCTTCGAAGCCTGTTTAATACTGGCACCTGAATGTGGAAGCACAAAAACCTGGAAAATTCTGCAGATCAAGAGGTCAGCTCATTGCCCATGCACAGAACACCCACTAAGTTGTCCAGCACCCTGGGTCCAGCAGAGCACAGCAGAATCAAACTGTGACACTTCCAGTTCTTTTGGAGACAGGAATTTTGCCCCACACATCAGTTCAGGAGGCTCAAGAACCAGGAGCTTCTATGCCACACAGTCTTTTCTTTCCAGATTTTGAAACTTTGAGCTTTTGATTTAAAATCTGTGTATAACCCTCCCTGGCATGCAATGCATTACCAGTCTCTGCTCTGTACAAACAACTTAGCAAGGGATAAAACAGTCTAAAGTCACAAACATGCACTTCTACAAGTGTAATATATTTCAGCAAGGAAATACACTATATTAATCACTGTTGCCATCTTGAACTGGCCTCTTTGGTTAAGAAATGTTTATTCTGAACAGCAAATACATTCTATCTACTGACAAGCTAGCTCTCAGAATAGTGAATACAATGTACAGACACTGATGATAAACATATCATCTCACCTCTAGAACAACATCAGCCACATCGTGGAGACAAAAGGTCAAGGTTCCCACTCGTGTCAAATTGGTTACATATGAGAAGCTTATCAGGGTGACTGCTACAATGTGATGTGTAAACATGATGCCAAAATCCTAGAGCAGCAAGAAGCAGAGAAAAAAAACCCAAAAAACAATGAACCAAACAGTAAGATTCAGTATTCTTATACAAAAATGGATGGTTATTTTTTAAACTAATAATTATGGTTACGTTACATAAAGAACCTGCTACGTAAGTGCATTAAATACCCTGCTATGTATATTTCACTTAGACTGAATAAAATAATCATTGTATGTTAAAGAAACTGAAAAGATTATTGAAAGCTAGGCAGTATCTACACTTCTCAGTTTACAGTAATTTAACCTAATGAAGTGAATATTTGCAGCTGAAGTTACTTTAAAAAGTCTTATGTACATACAAATCAAATTACACCATATTTCTTATACACCAAGCAACATATAATATGCAAAGTAACACACTGTTCACATGATTTCAAACAGCTACAATGAACAGGAAACATTTCATCACACTACAAGTTATCGACAGTCACCTGCCAAGCACAACCAAGAGCTTTCACAGAGCTAAGAATCACAGCTCCTTTTTTGGTGTGTTTTTCATGAGGCTGCTTTGTCTTCACACTGTAACAGGGTCAGAAAAGTCTTCAAATGAGCTGGTGCAGTTCCTCCTACTCAGATCTAATCTGCTACTTCATAACTAGCTGATGCAGGTTCTCTGCTCTAGAGATCAGTAACTTGTGAATTATTTGGCCAGCAGGTAACTTGCTATTGCAAAATACTAGGAGCATGAAGCTTCTGTAACATCACATATCCAGACACAGGCCACAGAGCAGGAAAAGCAGAGAGAATGACCATGTGCCTGGCCTGGACTCCCAGGCATCTGTTTACTGAGAGAACAGGACCTGCAGAGATGAGACTTTCTGCAAGACACCAAATCAGTCAAAAAGGAGTCTTGCTGGAGCTTGCTGAACTACCCTCACAGCTTTCAGAAAGTGGTATCAAAACCACTTTCCCCAAAACCAAAGATCCCAGGCATGATTTGACTTGGGAGTTTCTCCATGCACTGGGTGCACAGTTACTACCACAGCTCTCAGCAGACCTTGTGGCTCTCAGGTAGGGCTGTCTGAAGAGAGAGATCCAGGGAGGCAGCATGGGGCTTTCTGGAAGCTTTTGTGGGCCAGTCCTATTGAGCTGTGCTAGTCTTCAGCTAAGCAGCCTGTAGCGGAGAAACCAAAACTGAAACCTTGCAGTCTTTAGAGAGATAGAAACTGATTTGCAGAGACTGAAGGACAGGAAGGTGCTGGTGAGCTCCCACTAACACAGGGTCCGCTCCAGAAAAGCACCAGCTACAGCTGCCAACTGCCTTGTCTCTCCCACACTGGGAAGAGTAACAGCCCAGTGTCGTTGTACCTCTCTTTGGGAACGCAGCAGGCACCACTGCTTTCAAGCATGTGCAATGCCACTGCCTCTCAGTACCAGCACTTGGCTTCACTGCAATGCACACCCAGAGGCTGTGGAAAAACACACAGCTTGAGCAGTCTGCCTAACTGAACAGGGACAGGACCTCCTGCCAGAACTGTATCCTAGGTTGGTATGCACCCAGCATTTTTCAGCTTGGTTATTTGATACCCAGCACTGCAGAGCACAATCAAATACATTCAGCAGTTACCTCAAGCCATTCAGTTTAAATTAATTTTCTTAAAGCAGACTGAATGAAAACAAAATTAAAGGCTGTTTCCCTTTCTAATAGTCTTAAGGGAAAGGAAAAGTATGGCATCTTAGTCATTTCAGTAACTACAAATCCACACATGGGGGACATTTCACCATACCATAGTCAAAATAGCAAAGAACCTACCTTATCTCAGGATTAGAAGCAAGCCACTAGCATTGTCATATGGCCATACTGCAGCCCAGCTCTTTACCTGCTTCAACTGCAAATGCTATGGCATTGTTCCTCATCTTCCTTCTAACAGCAATTATGTTAGCATAAATGCAGTTCAAAAGGGGGAAGAAGCCAAGTAGAAAATTCTCATCTGTTTTTATAGCTGACACATCCATGTTATACAAAGATAAGATTTACGGTCCCTCTTGGGAACTCTTTAAGGCATTC